GGGGGGGGGGGGGGGGGGGGGATCGAGAGTGGACCCTCTTTTACGGTCAGCACCTACACTTTACAACGAACAGTGCTCGTGAAGGACTTACATAAACAAAAGAGGTCAATGAATGCAAAAGCCGTCGTATTGCTTGCGGACACACCGGAAGTCTCTGAGACAACGCGGGCTCACGGCCTCCACTGTCACAGGATACAGCTTGGAGAGGAACTTGTACGTACAAACTAATGCAACGACCTTTGCATTTGCAATTTTCGGATACTCCTTGCGATACAACAATACAATAGTTTGAGAATCGCCCGAGGTGATGTACATAAAATCCTCGTAGTCTCAACTTTTGAAGCATACGCACATTGGGCAAGTCGTTATTATTATGATGGATGTAAATTGAAGGCCTTACTATCACGGTCATTTGTGTCGCCCGAAAACGGTAGTCTACAGAACAACACGGGCGCTTGCTCGCTTACATTTAGCTCTCGAGACATCGTCCACCGGCATTGCTCTGGCAAGGCATTTACTCGTCTGCTCACCTGCGGAATATGATGGTAATATATCTGGAGATTATGTATATGTGTTCCATTAGTTCGTAGTCTGTACCCCAGCATATCACCCATTGGGACCTAGAATTGTGAATGCAGAACAAGACATAACATCACAGAAATATATGCAGTCTATCAATACTGCCAATGCGTAGTACTATATAGAATTTATATGATACACCAAAAAGTTTGATGAGACAGTGCTGCACTGGAGTGTAGTGCGAGACAGTCGCAAATGCCGTTTGTGTAGTAGTGCGATCGCCGATCGCGAGATGTGACTCGATATACATATAGCATGCGCTTTGCAAAGTAAATCGTTTGACCATCCATCGTCCCCGGGCCCCATTCTTGGATCATGAAGTACTTCTCCACGCGTGGAGACTCAGAAGAACTCTCCTTCGAGGAAGTAAGTTAAATCCAGCTCACCAACGCTCATGCACTGACCCCCCGTAGGCAGTGCTCACCGGTCTCGCCCCGGACGGCGGGCTCTATATCCCAGCCTCCATCCCACAGCTCCCCGCCAATTGGCAGCAAGCCTGGGCGAACAAAACTTTCCCCGATCTCAGCATCGAGATCCTCTCCCTCTTCATATCTCCAGACGAAATCCCTCCGGCAGACCTCGCCGCCCTTGTCCATACCACATACAACACCTCTGCATGGCGCCATCCCGACATCACACCGCTCAAACCGCTCACAAATGAAGATCCTTGCGCAAGGTATATCCTCGAGCTCTTCCATGGCCCCACATATGCCTTCAAGGACGTCGCGCTCCAGCTCCTAGGCAACCTTTTCTCTTACTTTCTCCAGCGTCGCAACAAAGCAAAGTCTCCTGGCGAAGAGAGGGAGAAGTTGACCGTCGTAGGCGCGACGAGTGGCGATACTGGGAGCGCAGCCATTTATGGGCTGCGGGGCAAACCTGATGTGTCGATATTCATTCTGCATCCTAAGGGCCGGGTGAGCCCGATCCAAGAGGCGCAGATGACGACCGTCACGGATGAAAATGTGCACAACCTTGCTGTGAAAGGGACGTTCGACGACTGTCAGGTCTGTTCCTTATATACTACCCTTTTAACAACTAACTTACATACGTATACACATCCGGCAGGACATCGTCAAGGCCCTCTTTGCCGATACCACCTTCAACGCAAAACACCACCTCGGTGCCGTCAATAGCATCAACTGGGCCCGTATCCTCGCTCAGACGGTGTACTATTTCCTATCCTACTTTGCCATCCGCCGCGCTCTTCCAACCAATACCGGTCCTGAGCTCCAATTCATCGTGCCCACCGGCAACTTCGGTGACATCCTTGCTGGATATTATGCCAAGCGCATGGGCCTGCCGATGGGTAAGCTGGTCATCGCGACCAACGCCAACGACATCCTCACGCGCTTCTGGAGGACGGGGCGATATGAAAAAGTGGATTCGAGTCTCATTCCGGATTCGCCATCTGCGATTGGGGGCGTGGTAGAGACGCTCTCACCTGCGATGGATATCCTCGTATCGAGTAACTTCGAACGGTTGTTGTGGTACCTCGCCTTCGAGAACGCACAGAACACGAACCCCGGAGTAGGGGACTTACGTGAGACCGCCTGCCAGACGGTAAAAGACTGGATGGACAAGGTAAAGTCGGTGGGGCGCATCGTTGTGCCCGATTCAGTGCTCGAGCTGGCTAGGAGAGATTTCACGGCTGAGAGGGTCGATGACGATCAGGTGCGCTCTTATATATACATTTCACAACGTGAGCTAATCTCACACTGTACTCGTGCAGATCCGCCAGACAATTCGAAAGTATTACACCTCCCCGTCCAAATCATATACTGCCGACCCACACACTGCAGTAGGGCTGCACGTTGCAGGTGTCCTCACGCCCCCACCCGGTGCCATCCAAATTGTCCTTTCCACCGCGCACCCGGCAAAGTTCTCCGAAGCGGTCTCGAGCGCGCTGGCTGGCGTGCCAGGGTTCGACTTTGACGCCGTGCTTCCTGAGGCGTTTAAGACGCTGCTGATGATGGAGCGCCGCGTGATCGATGTGGAAAGGCCAGATGTGGAGCTTGTGAAGGGCGTTGTGGAACGGTTTGCGGTAGTTTGAGTGCTTGACGGGGCGGCTGGGGATGATCAAAAACAACAATGTATGCTAATGTATGTGGTGCAAAGGAAAGGGTTATTTAGATGTGAGTCCTGCACATAGATAATAGTAACGAAACATTATATTGTACAATGTACTTGACATTGACCATGCATTCCATACGAACGTGTCTCATTTCACTTCCGTTGAGTAACGAGTCTATGATGCCCTCTGATCATTCAATTCCACGTGCCCCATGGCTGAGTTGGTTACAGCGTCCGACTGTTATTCACTTGGCATCGGAAGGTCGTGAGTTCGAGCCTCACTGGGGCAGCTTCATTTTTACCTTTCTTTGACAACGACTTTTGCCAAATATGGCCAGACAGAAAACACCCAAGTCCAGTCCACACAGTGACACTCAAACGCTCTCGCCGTTCATGCGCACTTCGGTTTTCGAGTGTGTCCGTGTACTTTTATTCGACCAGCGGTATTTCTGGATTGTAGCGTCTCTCGTTGTTCTCGGAGATGCTATCCTCACTCAACTCATAATCCGGTTCGTTCCCTGTCAGCGCGTTTCACTAGCTTGTATAACGCCCATGACCAACATATCAGGCAGATACGGAAATCGACTGGGAAACATACATGGTCCACATTGACCTATATCTGAAAGGAGAGCGCAACTATGCAAATATCACAGGGCCAACCGGTCCTTTAGTGTAAGTGAACATATTCGTCACAAGTATGCCCCAACAAACAGCCCCCGCGAAACTAGTTATCCAGCTGGTCATGTTCATATTCATCACATCCTTCACCGCATCACGGACGCGGGTCGCAATATCGCACGAGCACAGCAGATTTACGGCGCTTTATATGTACTCTCCGTCTCGCTGGTATGCGCGATATACAAAAAGGCCAAGGTTCCCAATTGGACTCTTCTACTGTTACCACTCAGCAAAAGGCTGCACTCTATCTTCGCTCTACGCCTCTTTAATGACTGCTGGTCAGTAGTCTTTATGCAAGCGGCGATTCTCGCGTTCCAGAGCGCTTGGGATGATTTGGGCGTGTTGTTATTTAGGTGAGCACTATATCTCCTTCACAGCTTTCTGAACGTACAAAACTTCATACATAGCCTAGCTCTCTCCGTAAAGATGTCGGCAATCTTGTATCTGCCAGGTCTGCTCGTCATTCTCTTCAAACGACACGGCTCCGCTATAACCATCCGACACATACTCGTCTTGGCGCTCACACAGATTGTGCTTGCGCGGTCTTTCCTTGAAAATCCGACGTCCTACTTCCAAAATGCGTTTGATCTGTCGCGCATTTTTCTTTATAAATGGACCGTGAACTGGCGTTTTGTTGATGAACGTACATTTTTGAGTTCTGCATGGGCGAAAGGCTTACTCTTGGGTCATGTTACGGTGTTGATTGCCTTTGGGCTATTCCGATGGTGTCGTAGTGACGGTGGCGTAGCTGGGGTTCTAGTGAGAGGCTTCCGGCGACCCACTCTGCCTGCTGGTTTAGCGCCTGTAGGTCCTGATTGTCAGTCTCGGTCATTCTCCTTGGTTCTTCGTCCACTGACTTGTGTACCAGACGTCGCTACTGTGCTCATGACATCCAATCTCATCGGCATTGTTTTTGCACGATCGCTGCACTACCAGTTCTACTCATGGTATTCGCAACAGTTGCCTCTCCTCACTCAAAGAACAAAGTTTCCTTTCGTCGTGCAGTGAGTTTTCTTCGTGCAAGAATAAGTATCACTTTCTAATCCGTGCAAAGGATGGCGATCATGGGCGCAATCGAATATGCATGGAATGTATACCCATCCACACCATTTTCATCCGGCCTTCTCCTCGTAGCGAATTCGTTGATGTTACTTGGGATTTGGTTTGGATACCCAGAAGGGAATATCTCTGCAAAATAATGACATTGAACTGACGCTGCAGTCAACTCTTTCCAAAGAGATAGTGGTACATTCATTGGTTCTCGCTTCCCATACCCACAATATATGTAGTTCTACCACCCCTGGGCAAAATCAAAACCTTCTCAGCTCCATGAACCTGACAAGCATCAGCGCTTGGCACCGTAGATCCCATTGAGCCTTGTGTTGATATTGGCAGTGGCCGAACGCCGACCTTGGGCAAGGTAATTTCGCCGTGGTGAAGGGCTATCAAGGTCAGGGGAACAGCGAATGAACCACCATTCTAGAAGTCGGTCAGGTTTACCATGAGTATGAACGCGAGTGGTAGAACCTACAGTTGCGACGAAATCTCCACGCTTTCGTCCGCACAAGAGCCAATCCTTGACACGCTCTTCAACATCGTATCGCATCTTGTAGGAGTGTTGCTTTCCCTCCTTCTCAGCCCAATGGAAAGAGGTCTTTAAGATTAGGGTTGCAGAGATTGGTTGGCCAGCGTAAATTGGTAGTTGATCCGGATGTATGTCATTGGAGAGCGGAGAGGGTTGCACAGTGATTTGTGCAGCTGTCACAATCTATTACAGACGGACCAGGTTAGTTCGCGTGTGCGTTATGTAGCACCCTGAAACACCAACATTCATCCTTGGGACATCTACTGGTATCTTGATCTCTCTCCAAGGGTACGGTGATGCAGTCTCCGGGCGACATTGCGCCAATGCCTAAATGCAACACCAGTGAAAAAGCGACAAAGCCAGGAATCGACGCACTGACCTCCCGGATGGGACCCTGGAACTCTCCACCGTCATCAAACGACGCAGGCAAGAGAATTTCCCCGGTAGCCCTGTACATTTCTACCCAATCCGCATTACTCTCCAGGTGTGAGATCAATTTGTCGATGAGCGTGCGTCGTACTAAGCTGTTCTGGGACTTCTCGCCCGAGATACTTGACAGAACAGCTTCCACTGTTTGTCGAATTAACGCCTCGACCTCTGCATAAATAAATGTAGTCAACGCAACACCGCAGTCAGAGCACACACTTACCGTCACGCAGCATGCGGTATTTGATGATGAGATTCAGTGGCTCCAAAACTGTGTTTCTCTTAGTACTCGACTAGCACATCCACCAGTAACGCACCAGGTCCGGTTGAAGACTCTATAGAGAACAAAAAATTCACGGGATGTTCTGGCGTGACAGTCTACAAAGTTTCTAGGTTTTTCATCAAATAAATAAAAGGCAAGGAGCTTACAACGACAGGACGGGTTGGACGACAACCTGAGATCTTGACTCCATCGAGACTCGGAGGGCCCTGCAGCTCTGTCGATGATATCCGAACATACTGGTGGGAAGTGGTCGAGATAGTAAACTTCGAAAATAGTCTAGCAGGGCTTCAGAACAAAGCGGACGGTCATGAAATCGTCGAACCTTTTGCCACGGAAAAAATCTTCTACGTTAACTGCTATCGGTAGTGAGACCGTAATGACTCTTGAGGTTTGCAGGGTACGAGTCACATCCGGCGACGATTGCGTGTTATATGTCACGCTTAGTCCAATTTTCTTCAAGTGCGGTGATAAATAATAATCCCCTTTCAGTGAAAGACACCTACCATTGTATGATATCTCGAAGCATCAGAATGAGGAAGCGAAATTACAACGTCTGAACCGGCGGGAGCGTCTAGAAGAATAACCGCATTGTCGGCGACCTCAAGAGTTCCCATACCTTGTCCTAATCATTAGAAGCACGCCAAAATGAATTGAAGACACTTACCTTCGACTTCTAACTTCGCCTCGGAGTAGTTAAAGTGTACTCCCGAAGGTGGTGTTGCCTTGATAGTCGCCCTGGATATGTCGTTCTGGCCAGTGGAGATAACAAGTAATAGATGTGATGTCGTTCCCAGCTCGGCTTGAATCCATCATGTAAGGCCAGCACGGGCAAGAAAACAACGCCGCTTACTTTGCTGAGGTTGACGTATTTGTGCATCTAAGGCGCGCAAACTCAGTGGCACGCGCACTAATGAAATACGATCGTTCTTCAAAGTAGTGTTCGCGGCACTCTTATGCTGCCATTGAAAGCGGACATGCGACATTATTACTTCACTGCTTTCAAGTGCATAGAGACCCCACGAAGATGTCTATGATGATGTGCTGGTCAGTTCACTGTAGACTGTCAAAATGGTCATACCAACTGGGCAAGATAGAGTTATAGTCGATTGTCCAGGAGGAATTTTATCCACCTTCGTGGCAAACTTCAGACGTTCTGAATCTCGACCATGCAATATCACGCTGACTTCGTCGGCAAAAACGTCCTGCAGACGGAATCAGCTCTAGAACGAGGCCTGAACTCTCAGACACGCACACATGGTAGGTGGTTTGTGATGGTAGCGTCAACCAAGGCTAAGTCCTCATCGTCACTGCAGGTAGTATTGCCGGACACTTGAACCGCCATGATAGGATGGTCAGAGTGAATCAAGTCTGCAGTTTGCAATATTGTTTATCATTTCTAGATTGCAACTGCGTTCAGGAAACACATACCTGACTCCAGACTCATGGAAGCAACGCGAAGGGCGCTAATCAACTGTGTAACGTATTTATCGTCTTCCGATAATACCTCTTTGTCCATATCATTTGTGTAGGTCCTGAGATATGAAAGCAAAATATGAATCCATTCCCTGTCCTGAGGACTTCCCAGCTCTGCATGTGTGTTGATTGCACGAGAGAACATGAAAGACTCCAATGATGTCCACATATGTGGCCCATAGTGAGCAGGCAAGGATGCAAAGATTGTCAGAGCATTCGCTAGGCGTCCTCGATGACTGTTCTACAATGAGAAGGCGGATCGTGCGTCAAATATCATGCTTACATGTCCAGAGCGGCAAGGAAGCCATGAAGCTTTAGCGCAAATTTGCGACGGCCAGCTTTCACGTACATGTCGATGGCACGGTTTGAAGTTGTGCAATACAAATCATAAAATGCCTCCTTGTCCCCTATTGCCAGGATGACCTCCTGCTTGCTTATCCGGTGCGTCGATGAGCGTTTGCTGGGCTGTTCTAAATGTGGAGCAGGTATTTCTTCCATACATGTGCTTGCGAAGGGCGCTTTTTGGGGCAAGTGACTTACTTTCACGCCAAGGAGGTCGAGCTGCAAAGAAAATCAGGATATGGCGAGTCTCGATGGTGATATCTGACCTGAGTCTTGGCAAGTTCAAGAAGTTCACCTTTACTCGCACTGAATCGTGCGAGCTGGATACCATCCAGTTCTGTCGGTGGAACCCACGCATCACATTGATCGATGGCGCTGAGAGCAGAAGAGAATATCCAAGACTCAATAAAGTATTCTGGTAAGGTGGCCTATGGAGGGTATGAGCTTCTACAATACAACACAGCATAACGTGACCCCTGACCTCTACCTCTCGCAATCGTCTA